CGAACCACTCGGGCCCGCTCGGGAGCATTATGCCATCTATGAAATTGTGACTGCCGCAGAAGAAATCCGAACACATCGTCTTGAACAGCTGCGCAAGGCCTCCACCTTTTTCGTTCTGTACTTCAGCTGGCACGCACGCCCGCGCGAACCATCCATCTTGGCGCGCCCGATACCACGTCGGGAGCGCCGAGTGCGAGAAATACAAGGCCTGACATTTTCTCCTTGCGTCTGGGCGGAGCTGATTGCCGCGAGACGTCTCGTCGGTGTAGAGAAGAAACCCCGAACCCGCGTTGACTAGCAAACGCTGCCTCCAAAATGCTGCAAAGAACCTCGAACGGGAACGCAGCGTGCACAGCAACGCCTGCGGCCGCATGTGGTCCAACATAAACTCACCGCCCGACTTCAACTGCAATGTGACTTTGCCAAAGAGGGGGCCCACGGGCGTGTTCGCGTCCAAAGTGCGCCGCAACTCCTCTCTCAGTGCGTGGCGCGCGTTCTCGGGCGTCGCGGCGTCGCCCAGCTGAGCGAGAATCTGGGCGGCGCCTCTATATGAAGTGCGGAGATCGAGATCAAGTCTCCGCCTCTTGCTCGGAGGATCCATGGGCATACATTGCCGAACGTTTCGAGCCAAAACGGCAATGACGAGGGGGGGCGGAGGACGGGGGGGGCGGCGAGCCTACCCATGAAGGATAAGGAGCAGAGGGGGGGCAGAACAAGAGGGGGCCCAGGATGCCTCAACGATGCTGCGATACACCCTCCCGCCCCTATGTCCCCTCCTCATAAGCCCCCCGTTCGCTCCGCGCGGTATTTGATGCGTGACTGACAAAGCGCGCGCGTATGGATGTTTCAGTTAGCTTTCGCTTGCGATTTTGATGGTTGAAAAGCATGCTCGGACGCGTGGCCCCTGGCGCGCGCGCGTTTCAGTTACAGAACAGTTACACAAGTTATAAGTCTAAATACAAATGAGTTAGTAAACGGCGCCCGTATCCAGTTGCTAACCTGGATTATAATCGCATAAGTGGCACCGCCCGAGAAGCAGGTCGCTGCGGCGGGGGCTGGGCGGTTCTCCTCGCGCCTCTCGTCGCCCAATCTGACAGCGGCGCGGTCGTGCTTGGGCTTCCCGCGCATCGGGTCCAAGATGAACTCCCGGCCGCTGCCCCCCTTCATGACGTCGGCCCTCGCGTCGCGAGTGTCGCGCCGGAGCGAGCGATCTGCTCGGCGCGGAGCTGGTCGAAGAGCCGCAATAAGTGGCCTGCCGCGCTGCGCTCTGAGGGTGGACGCAGGCGGCGCCCGCGAAGACGGGCGCCGCGTCCACGACCAGGGTCGCCAGCGCGGCGCGCACCCCCTCTTCTCTCAGAGCACGGCGCACACCCACTCCCCTCTCAGCTCCCTGACCCCTCGGCCGAGACCGGGCCCCGGATCATCTCGCGGAGCGCGAGGGGGCAGGCCTGCGACCCGCCAGCTGCGCCGCGAGCTTCGAGCAACTCGACGCCGAACAAAGACCTACGCACATGCATGTGCGAACTGCTCGCGGCATCGAGCGAATGGCAGACCTCCTTGTCCGTGCTGCAGCACTTGCCATGGCGCGCGTGGACGGCGCCCCCCGCGCCGCGCCCCGCCTCGCCCCCTCTCGGAAGGCCCGTCGCTGCGCGCGCAGATCCGGCCGAAGCATTCCACGGCGGGGCAGGCGGCGCGCGCTGATCACCCGCGCGGCGAGAATCGCAGAGTTGAACTGCATAACGCGTCGCGCGACCAGCGTCTTGTTGGTCCGCTGGCCCGCCGCAGGGCCGCGGTGCGCGCTTCGACGCGGCGCTGGGCGGGCAGGGCGTGAGCGGCTGCTGTTGGAATGGAGACGAAGGGGTCGGGCTAATGACCGCCGGCGGGTTGGTCGGCCTTCGCCTCGACCGGGTCGACGCCCCTGATCGGCATCGGGGCGTCGACGCGCCCTTCCTGGCCGAGCGTCGCCGCGCATCCTCCTTCCTGGGGGGGTGGGAGGGGAAACTCCTCCTTCTCTTCCTCCTCCGCCTCCTCTTCCTGCTCCTCCTCCTTCCTGAAGGACAGGGAAAGATCTTGAGATGATTGAGGGTCTCCCTCTCTGGGGTCCGTTTGTGTGTGGGGTCACACATATATTCCGCTGTTCGAGGGAATGTAATTTGTTTTCCGTTGCGGGGATGCACAGTGATTCCACTTTGTGGGGGCTACACACATATTACTTTTTGTGGCGGGATTGCAGATCGATTCTTTTTGTGCGGGGTGTGGGGGGATGGGGTACGAATCAATTCCCTTTTGTGTGAAAGGGGTACAATCGAATCCTTTTGTGGGGATTGCAAGTGGATTTCCTGTGGGGGGCTACACATTGACTCCCTTTGTGGCGGAATTGCGAATCGATTCTTTTCGTGGTGGTTTCCGCATAGATTCCCTGTGTGCGAAGAGATACACATTGATTCCTGTTGCGGCGGGGGAAGGGAGAGTCTGGCCCTGGGGGAAAAGTCCAAGCAACAAAAATGCAAGACGGCCTCCCTGAATCCACTGGTTCAAAGTGATTCCCTTTTCTCGGGGGTGACACAGGGATTGCCTTTGTTGTTGTTTTGTGTGTGCGTGTGTGAAAAAAAGGAGAACACAGTTTTTTGCTGGCGCCTTTCCCCCCTAAGCCAGCCAGACCCTCGCCTCCTCCGTCACCAAAGGAATCAAACTGTACCACCTCGCACAAAAGGAATACAGTTGTAAACCCCACAAAAGGAATCGATTTGCAATTCCGCCACGAACGGAATCAGCTTGTAGCCCTCCACAAAAAAAATCCATTTGCAATCTCCACCAAGGGAATCAACTTGTACCCCCTCGTACAAAAGGGAATCAATATGAGCGTCCCCCACAGAGGGGAGGAAGGAGAGAGAGAGAGAGGGAAAGAGACAGAGAGAGAGAGAAAGACAAACATGAAAAACTAAAACAAAATGCGAGGTGCCGTTATGCCCCCCAACCTCCACCCCAACACACACCCGGGCCGGGAAAGAAGTAGGATACTCTAACTTCCCCAATATGTTCTCTTCCGGCTCTCTGGGGGGGAGGTTCGAACCCACCCCCCTCCTGGGCGCTGGTGCTGGCGCCTGCGGTGGCGGCGGCCGGCAGCACTAACGGCGGGGAAACAGCGGCGATGACCAGACAGAGCCCAGAGGCCGCAGCAGTAAATACAAATCGCCATATCGAACCCTCCCTCTCCCCAAAAGCCACCGGGGGCCCTTCGGAAGTTCCAGGAAACGCCCAAGAGACGCCCAGGAGCCCTCACACATGCTCCTCAGACGCCCCCGAGACCCTTTGATGAGACCCCAAGGGACGTTTATTAGAACTGTGACCCAACGCCAAGACACGGTGGCGGAAGACACGAACGCTACACAACCACTACCACCAGCACAACCACAAACAACTACAGAAACAAGACCACCACCACCGCCAACCTATGAGGACTCTGGCCCACGTCAGCGTCATCGTCGTTGCCGCCACCGCCGCGGCCGCGGCCGCCGCCGCCACCGCCGCCGCCGCCGTCGTCGTCGTCGTCGTCGTCGTCGTCGTCGTCGTCGTCGTCCTCGTCGTCGTCGTCAACGTCGTCATCGTCATCGTCGTCGTCGTATCCCTTCAGGGTCGGCGGCGCTGGCAGTAAGGCCTTCGCAATTATGAGAAGAGGTCGCACGCGAGAACCCCAGTCTAAAAACAAGCACGCCATCCATCCAAACGAATAATGAATACCAGATCTTACACGTATGGCGAGAACTACGTTTGGGAAGCGACCCGTCTTCACTCTGCCTAGATGTTTGAGAAAATCACGCTTCACTATCATGAACGGTGAGAGAGCCTCAAGCGATTGCCTGGCCCGCCACACCGACACCTCGGGTGGTGCGAAGAGGAGGAAGCATGTAGCAATGATAGTGGTGGAGGAAGAAACGCAGGAGGATGAGCAGACGGAAAATGATAAGGATAGTTGAGGCAGGATGAGCAGAGAGAGAGGATGAGGGATGCAGCATGAGCTGGAGTATCCGCGGGAGGAGAGGAAAGGAGACGCAAGGAGGAAGGATGAGGAGCAGGAGGAGGGAGAGGGATAGGAGGAGGAGGACGAGGAGCAAGACTAGGAAGGAGAAGGGGGAGCAGGATAACCAGAATGAACCCAAGATGTATCAGCGATGCTACAAGAACATCCTGCCGTCCCACGTCCCATCCTCATCAGTCCCTACATGCGTTCTTGTTCACTGCGCGAAGCGCACCCCTCGAAAACCGAACACCCCTTTGGACACGCAGTCCGAAAAATTCTCCTTGCTTGAAGTCCTAAGTCATCTGAGGAAAACAAATTGCACAAAGTAAGGAAGTACGCAACGACCGCTCCGGTTTGAAAAGGAACCATCCTCCATTCGTTCACCTCTTGCACAAATCTGTCAATATTGTAATGCATGATGAAAAAATCTCAAACGTATCGCTTTACCTATATAACCTCCCACCATCCGTGTGTGTGTGTTGGCTGGCCAACGAATGTGACAGGCGCTCAAACAACAATTCGTTTTGGGAAGCCGACCGCCCTGCATCCATGCAACTGTTTGCAATTTTCAACGTCAAGATCGCAGACGGTGAGGAAGCTTCGCGCGAAAGCCTGGTCCTCCCTGTCGACACGTGCGGTGGTGCGACGAAGGGGAGGCATGTATATGAGAGAGGAATGGAAGAGGTTCAGGATATATTGACACGTTCGGTGGTGCGGCGAAGAGGAGATATGTACAAGGGAGAGGGATGGAATATCATCAGGAGGGGGAGGAGGAGGAGGAGCGGAACAGAAGGATGAGGAAAGATGTAGTTGAAGCAAGATGCACAGGGATGGAGGAGGAAGATGAGGGATGCAGCAGAAGCAGAAACTTGAGTGGGAGGAGGGGGGTTAGAATAGGACGAGTACGTGATAGGACCATTAGGGCCACTAGGGAGAACGAGCAAGACAAGGAGGGGGATGACGACGGCACGATGGCGACCGGGATCTGGCCACCAGCGAGCCGCCGGAGCTCGCGAACACCAGCGACTTGGGCCTTCGGCGTTCCCAGGGCGCGAAGAGGGCGAAGCAGACAAGGACTCCTCCCCTTTCACGGGCTCCCCCCTCCCTCTTCCCCTCCCTCTGTCCCTTCTCCTCCCCCTCCTCCTACTCCTCCTTCTTCTCCTCCTCCTCGTCCTCATCCCTCTTCTCTTCGGTTTCCCTCTCTTCCCTCCCTCCTACGGGACCGTCTCATGCGTGTCTTGGGGCCAGGGTCCGACGATACGGGGGAAGTGCCTGTTCTCCTTATCTCACTCGTTCGCTCCTTTTTATCTCCTCCCCACCCTTCCGCTTGCCGCCGTCTTTTTGTTGTTGCCTCCTCTGTCGTTCTTCGTTCTCTTCGCTTGCTGCACTTGCTGTTGTTGATCTTCCATGCACGTTGGTCGGAAGAAGTAGGTAACAGCATGAAGCAAGGAAGGCGGATACAGTAGATTGGGTTCAGGCGCTCCCAGAGAATAACAAACACACACACACACACACTTTTCACGTCGGCGGCTGGGCAGCGAGTGATTGCTCCGGCGGAGTTACAACAGGGGACACGCTGTATGCAAATTAAGGCCGCAATGCACGGAAGAGGAGGAGGAGGAGGAGCCCCGGCGCGACAGGGGGAGGAAGCCAGGCCACTCAGAGCTGCCGACTGCGGCGGAGGGAACACCGAGGTGGGAGACCAGCGCCAGCACTGAGCTGCACTGAGATAAAACACACACACACACACCAAGCGCAAACCGACTCTTGAAGTAGGAAGGCGCGGGACATGCCTACTGTCAACTGCCGACGGGCATCGCATGCGCTGATGCGAGCTGCGACGGCTGCACGCGCCTCCGCGGGGGGCGCCGGGGCCTGCGCCTTGAGGGCTCCCTCGGCGGTGGGGCCACGCTGGCCGGTAGCCTCCGCTGCGGGCACCTTCTATGCAGCAGCATTCTAGCTGCATGTGCGTGCATGTGGATCGCACGGTGCCATAGAGTGAATCGAGTCGAGTCGAGTCGAGTCAAACTCCTCATTCTTCTTGTTCTCCCCCTCCTCCTGCTGCTCTCGGCTCCCCTTCCTCCCCCTCCCCCCCCTCCGCCTTCAAGCCACCTGGAAAGCCTGCCAAACTCCCGTTTGACACCCTCTCCGACAACTCGAACCCCCTCCTCCTCTCAAACTCCTCCTCCTCATCTCCTCCCCTCATTCGCCTCCTCCAGATCCCCTTCCACTCTACCTCCCGCTCCCCCCTCCTTCCGCGCTCCTCCTCCTCCTCCTCCTCCTCCTCCTCCTCCCAATTCGCCCCCCTCCTCCTCGCCTTCCTCCCGGCTGTCGCCGCTGCCGTCGTGGTCGCCGCCGCCGTCGCCGCGATCATCGCCGCCTTCGCCGCCGCCGTCGTCGCTGCCTTCGCCGCCACCGTCGTCGCCGCCGTCGCTGCCCCCCTCGTCGCCGCCGTCCACGGTCTTGGCCTCCGTGGGCAGCCGCCTGCCGCTTGCCTCGCGACCTGCGGAGACCTGGCTGGCAACGAGCGTCGTCGGGAGGATGGGGTAGCGACCACGACCGCGGCGACTGCGCCGAGGGCGAGGGCAAGGGGAGGGGAGGCGGGCGACGATAGCGACAATGGTGCGGGGGGAGGCGAGGGGGGGGGCAGGGCGATGAGGTGGATGAGGACGACGACACCGATGAAGGGGAGTGGGAAGAGGAGGGAGTTTTTCCTCGGAGGCCCTCGAGGCAGAACAGAGCAAACCTGCCTAACGCACCCCTGACCTGGCCAGGAGTCGGCAGCACAGCATGCAATTACAGCGAGGGAAAACACATGCCACTCTTTGGGGACAACCCTCGCGCGAGGCGAGACAATACGCTAACACCAGCTTTTGTGGGGCCAACAGACGACCTGCCTTCAGCGCGGGCCTTCGCGCAACATGACACTCTTCGCTCAGGAGCTGAGCGGTGGAGACACAATATCGCCGGCACGCTCGGCAGTACAGAACGCCCCTAAGAACCGATAAATCGTGCGAGGAATGGGCCCTCATAGCCGCAGGATGCGCAAGTATTGCTTCGCGCCCAACCTGCGGTCTCACCTCGCGCGCCCACAGACATCTACCTGGCCGGAAATTGCAGACCTGACCGCGAGTAGCATCAAAGGTGCGGCGACAAACCGTGCACACAAATCGGGTTCCATGCGTCCGAGGGGCGTGACCTGCAGCGATCAGTCTCTGCTTGCGCGTGCAATGAAATGGGACAGCAGGAGGCCGGGGCGGGGGGCGACCAACACGATCAGACTGCAAGCGCCGGCAGGTCAGGATGACCTGTCGGGTCACAACCAAAAGACGATTCAAGACGCGCAAGGCCATATCATCAGCCTCGTGCAAAACCTGAACATGCTCCTCAGGCATCTCACCTAAGGCGGCAGCCTTCCCAACAAAGAAATCAGCACACAAAAAACAATAATTATCCCGGCAAAGCAACCTAACAGCGATGGGTATAAGCATATCTGGAAGCATTCCCCTTCAGATTCAGGTGAGAATCCAGTTGTAGAATTCTGTTCTCGCAGTCGCAGTCGCATTCGCAATGACAGTCGCAGTGGCAACGGCCGTAGGATCCAATGGAATCCTAAGGATTCCTAGGGATTCCTAAGGCATCCTTAGGCACCCTTAGGAATCCATAGGAATCCTTAGGAAACCTTAGGAATCCTGATTCCTATGCATTCTTAGGGATTCCTAAGGATTCCTGAGGAATCCTAAGGATTCCTCAGGATTCCTGAGGATGCTTAACTAAGCCTACGGATTCCTAAGGATGCCTACGGATTCCTAAGGATGCCTACGGATTCCTAAGGATTCCGAGGGATTCCTAAGGATTCCTATGGATTCCTACGGATGCCTCAGCCTGCCTCAGTTTCAGCCTCAGCCTCAGCCTGCCTCGTCTTGCCGCAGCCTCAGCCTCAGTCTGCCTCGGCCTCAGCCTCAGCCTGCCTCAGCCTCAGCCTCAGCCTGCCTCGGCCTCAGCCTGCGTCAGCCTCAGCCTGCCTCGGCCTCAGCCTGCCTCGGCCTCAGCCTGCCTCAGCCTCCCCTCCTCCCCCCCCTTCCCCCCCCCCATTGAGCCTCACCTTGTCTCAGCTTCGGCCTGCCTCAGCCTCAGCCTCAGCCTCAGTCTTAGCCTCAGCCTGTCTCGGCCTGAGCCTGCCTCGGCCTCAGCCTCAGCCTGCCTCAGCCTCAGCCTCAGCCTCAGCCTCAGCCCTGCCTCAGCCTCAGCCTCAGCCTCACCTCAGCCTCAGCCTGCCTCAGCCTCAGCCTCAGCCTCAGCCCTCAGCCTCAGCCTCAGCCTCAGCCTCAGCCTGCCTCAGCCCTTCAGCCTGCCTCAGCCTCAGCCTGCCATCAGCCTCAGCCTCAGCCTGCCTCAGCCTCAGCCTCAGCCTGCCTCAGCCTCAGCCTCAGCCTCAGCCTCAGCCTCAGCCTCAGCCTGCCTCGGCCTCAGCCTCAGCCTCAGCCTCAGCCTGCGTCAGCCGCAGCCTCAGCCTGCCTCGGCCTCAGCCCGCGTCAGCCTCAGCCTCAGCCTGCCTCAGCCTCAGCCTGCCTCAGCCTCAGCCTCACCCTGCGTCGGCGTGCCTCAGCCTCCGCCTCAGCCTGCCTCGGCCTCAGCCTGCCTCAGCTCGGGCATTCAGAATATGCCACGGGACTTGTGTTTTGGGAACACGAAGATGACGAGGCAATCGAAAATACGGTACAATAGTGGCGTTCTGGGGACACGAAGAACACGAAGTGGCCTACAGTTGGCTCCGGGCATTCAAAATGTGGCCTGGGAGTGGTGTTCTGGGAACGCGAAGAACAAGAAGTGGCCTACAGCTGGCTCCGGGCATTCAAAATGTGGCCTGGGAGTTGTGTTCTGGGAGCGCGAAGAACAAGAAGTGGCCTACAGCTGGCTCCGGGCATTCAAAATGTGGCCTGGGAGTGGTGTTCTGGGAACGCGAAGAACAAGAAGTGGCCTACAGCTGGCTCCGGGCATTCAAAATGTGGCCTGGGAGTGGTGTTCTGTTGTCCGGGCAATCAAAATGTAGCTCCTGGCACTCAAAATGGGGAGTCCCCAGATTCCCGCGGCACCCGTCCGGCATCTGCCCAGACCCCCCTGGGGAGTCATGATGATCCCTTTTGACACCACTGCAAACCTATCAGTTTTCGCTGTTAGGTAAAAACTCAACCTCAAAGATGCCCCAAGCCTCACGGGCACTACGACTTGAATGAGCTTTGGTCCAGATCACCTCGACACGGCCATCACGAGCGTCGAGGAAGTCCCAGATTTGGACCCAAAGGTCCAGCATCGGGAAGGATTCGGCCACCCAAGATCGATCCCGTCGCAGGCCCCCAACAAGAGGAATATCATCATAATATGCAACTACGTCGCCCGTCTTGAAGGTGAGCAGCATAATCAATGCAAACAAATCCGAGCGCGGGCTCGACTGAGTCCGAGTAGGAAGAGTTCCCGCCAGAATAGCACCACATCGGAATTCAACTTCGTCGACGCTGGCCTCGTCCAGCCGAACGACCGCCCAACCGCAACGACGAAGACGATGATCCTTAGCCCGCTTCCCACTTCCCTCCTGACCCGTCGAGCCCAAATCTGCCGCCTCGTACCGCGCGTCCATTCGAGAACATGCCCCAAGCCTGCTTCACATCCATCGGGGGAGGTAGAGGGGCAAAAGCAGGAACGAGAGTGGGAATACCTCTGTTCCAAAATCCTGAACGTTCGCGCTCATCATGTAAGGTTGTCTGGACGAGCTCCCGACCCTTGGGCAAGTGGACCGAGTCAATCTGATCGTTGGAAGAGAAGCCCCAGACACGGTGTAGTGTCGTCTCACGGGCGACGCAACACCGAGGGCACATGCCATCAGTCGAGTACCCCGCGTCCTGAAGCCGAGCCTCAGGCCACGCGCCTCCAGAAATAATGCAGCAGAGTAGGGCAGCATCAGGATAACGACCATCTTTAACCAACTTCGCATGCATATTCGTGAATGCGGTAAGGTCAGCACCCCCTTCAAGACCATCCCCGCAAAAATGATTCGACGCCTTACCCCACAGAATACGATCCAACGTACTCTGCACCGCAATCGTGAGGTGGAATGGAAAATCACGAGCCTCACTGCTCAACACTCCTTCCGGCGTAGACCATGAGGTAATGGAGCCAGGGCCCCATTCAAGATCGAGCAAAGTGCACGCCGCGGCAGCAGTGGGACCACGGACAGCGCGCCATCGACGCGGCGCATCCAACGAGAGTAGCCTATCACGCTGCTCGGCCCAGGTCCTCTGCACACCCACACGCTGGCCGGGACAGACAATGCCACGCACCAGCAAGAGCCTGCTGCTCCTAACGCATACGGAAGGCAGGATCATCGGCATGTAGATCACCAGTGCATATAACCGTGGTCGTGCAAGCCCCCGGACTCCAATGGCCCGAGCATTGGGCCGCCCGGGACCTGAAACTCTGAACGTCGGCCATCGTGAGGCCGACCACGGAATGCCTCCAAGATCCCACCGAGAGCACCCCCGGTTCGTAAATCCTTTAAACTTTACCACATAGACGGGCAAGGTAAGCGAGCTTACGAGAGCGTCGGAAGGCAGTACGTCGTCGCAGCTTAACTTTCGATGTGCGCCGTTGCTTACCTGCCGTCGCCATCGCACCTAAGTAGTTTACCTGGGTAGTGAACTTCACTGGAACGCGCTCGTAGCCGAAAGCTGCACCTAAATCGCGAGCAAGATCAGCAAAGGAAGCAACTGCTGCAGACTTGGCCGAGATGATGCAACCGAGGGCCTGAACATCCTTGAAAAATGCCACCGCTGCCACAGGAAGGGAACTGACCACGTAACGGCGAGAGCCCTGAACATGCTGAGTCGTATCGTCGACATACGACCGAATCGGAACAACTGGCAACCTCCGCGCGATCGAGTACATCATGTAAGTCTGCTTTCACCCATGGCATCGACTGTCCGCAGCCCGCCAAAATGGAACGACCCGTAGAAATCACAGAAATCGCACCAGAGACTTCGAGCAGTCTAAGGCAGGTATGGAACACGACACCGAAGTAGAGCAAGTGAGGAGGGTCGCCAATCTTAAGAACGAGCTGAACCAACAGCGACGGAATGATAAGGTCGAATCATTTCTCCATGTCCCAACTAAGAGAAGCAGAATCAAACCCAAGGGCGCCAGCGACTTCGTGGCACAATTCGCGAAGCAGGGCGGCCTGGGGGGCAGGTGATCCCTTGACTGCGCTATCCCAGAAATCAGTGTGTGCTGCACTCCAAGCGTCCACATCATCACCTCGCATGCGCACATACATCCGGTACATGGTCGAACATTTAGGAATCGCACGCTCATCTTTCTCAGATTTCGGAAGCGACGCCATGGCATCCAAATAACATTGCCGGGGGGCGGCCATCACCTTCTCGCGCTGGTTGAATGTGGCAGCGAGGGAGAACAAGGCTTGGCCGGGCAGGTCCAGGAAACTGCGCGGAGACCACTGGTC